TCTTGCTCGCTATTCAAGTCAAAATACCAATTGACTGTCAGGTTCACAGACAGGGAGGGAGGAAGGCAGGGAAAGTGTGGGAAAAGGAGAGAGAGAGCCAGAGAGAGAGAGAAGAGGAAGAAGAAGAAGAAAAGGAGGAGGAGAGAAGAGAAGAGGTGAGGTGAGGGGAGGAGAGGAAAGAAAGGAGGGAGGAAAGGATGAGGTAACTGTCTTCTATACTGCTGGAAGGATTCACAAAGTTTAGCTCATCTCCTGCCAGTGAAAACTAGAGTACCAAGGAAATGATCAAGGACAATTTCAAATGAATGTATTAAAATCTATCGGGCTCTTTTGGGTGCCTCAAAATGCCTTGTTCACTCTGAACTATACATAGTGATGGGCTAGTAGAGGAAAATAGAGCAAAAAAACCCTCTATATAAACATACATACTATATTCATAGGTATCTAATTAAGAATTCTAACGCCTAAATTTTCTTTCTTTTGATTCTCCTTTTACTTTGTTTTACATGTTTTATTTTTCCACTCTTTAATTTTCAACATCCTTTTGTTTTAGATAAATCTCTCATAAACAGAATACAGCTGCATTCTGTTTAAGCTAGCAGATTGTTAGCCTGACAATCAGTATACATACTTTTATTTATACAAGGATTATCTTCTTTTCTTTGAATTTTGTACATTAATTTTACCCATTTACTTATTAAGCTTAGACTGGCTTCAGTTTTATAATAGATTCTGAATCTGAAGCAAGCTTGGAGCTGCATCTGTGCACACAATAAAATTTTTAATAATTTGCTACATTAGAAGAACTACTTTATTGTATAAGGAATTTTAGTGCATATTGTTTTCATTCTGACTTTCCCAAGAATATTAATAACAATAAATGCAGGAACACACAAACTGAATAAAGCAAGGTACACTTAGATTACTGAAGAGTTTGTTGCTCCAATGACCCAGCTTTCAGCATCTTTCCTTAGATCACTTCCTTTATTAGAACCTGGCTGACCCGCCGTCAGATTACGGTGTCAAAGCTAAGAAGTTAAATACCATGGACAGCTGCTTTCCAGGCCAATAAACAGATCAGATCAGCAGGATCCTGGCAGCCTGGCCGGGCACTCGACAGAATGTGCTGGATCCCTGAAACTCAACTGATTCTCATCCTCCATGATTCAGATTTACTCCTGAGCAGCTACAGAGACTTTTTAAGAAGATGATGCTACCACTGACAGTAGAAAAGTCTCTGCTTAGTGTAGATATTTCTAAACCCTAGCCAGTGGCTTTCTTATTTCAAGCAAAATCCTTCACAGCAAAATTCCAGGACAAAAAGTTTTTGGAGGTTTCCTTGGATTTTATAGTAATATTTAGACTGTCGATATTCATTATATAGGAGCTAGGGCTTACGTCTATTATAATATGACAAATACTATATGCCTAAGGGGTACAACAACCTGCTCTACTCTGGTTCACTGGAGTAAATTCAATCTTCAAGGTGTGCTTTGCAATTCTTAAATCTGAAATAATTTATCCTGATTCACTTTTCACTTAAGAATGGAACATAGGGGCTGGGGATTTAGCTCAGTGGCAAAAGCGCCTGCCTGGCAAGCGCAAGGTCGTGAGTTCGGTTCCCGGTACCGGAGGGGGAAAAAAAAAAAAAGAATGGAACATAAAAGAAGGGAACCAGCATTTATTGAACAATACACATTTGCAAAGGACTATATTAGATGCTTAACATCCATTTAACAGTTTTCCCAACCTTATAAAGTAGATACTATTCTTCTCATTTTCCAGATTAGGAAACTGAGGCTCAGAGATCTTAAATGGCTTCTCTGAGGCTACTGGGCTTATTACACAGCTGGGCTTAAAACCCTTTGCTCCTTGTGTCAAAGGTTTTCTTCACATACAATGGCACCACAACTTTCTAGGAAAGATAATGATATCCTTAAAGAAAGAAACATAACAATTGATTTCAAAAAGCACACACAGTGTAGCATTATTGCTTGGTGAAAACAAGGTGACAGTTCACATTTTTCACACTCTACAGTTGCTGCATGACATGTATCATCCATAATGGAACCAAATTAAGATTTCAACTGGTTTGCAAAACAAGTAGTTCAAGAGATTTCACTGCTAACAGCCGTTACAGTTCTGTGACAAGAGCCATCTGATAATTTGTATGAGAATATAGCTGTTTCTTCTACTTTTTCAAATTCCCATGGGCCATAATTGTATAAATAAGACAATAAGGTAGGAGTACATGAAAAAATGCTTAGTATTACACTTTCCAAATTCTTGTATAGCACATAAAGATTCCACGGATGGTCACATTTGGCTTAGGGTCTTTTTTCTGAGTATTATGATGATGTCAGAGCCCTGATTTCTGTAGGAAATGTGGGCTAAGTGGCCAGATACTAACTCTGCAGACCACAAGGCAACATGGTCACACCCAAGGACGCAACTCTGGGATGCCTTACGTTTGGGGAGTGGACAGCAAACTCCCATAAGGTTCTGTAACCAGGAATAGGATAAAAGCTGTAATTGCTGAAGAAGGAATTCCAACAAAGACTCAAAAGTGAATTCTCCAGAGAAACCATATATGATGCATTATTCCATCTAAACAACGTTATGTCTGTTCCAGCATTGGGGGGAATATCCAACAAGACATAGCTTCATAAAAAAAGAGTCTACTTCCATTAGTTATCAAATGCCAAAAGATTCCATGATCAAATGGAATAAATCCCAACTGGCTGGCATTAAAAGAAAAATAATACAATGAACACATTTGGGGGAAAATCAGAAACAGGAGAAATAATTAAGAATAAGACATACTACTTTAAAAATTACATGATATTCAGAATTTCTAAATTATAAAAGAATATTTTATTACTTTTTATTATCTGTAATTGTTTGATCAATCTTGTATTCTTACATCTGGTAATCTGAGCAACTCTGCTGGAGATAACAATATGTTATATAACAACCATTGGTAATTCCTATCATCTTGTTTTCAAATTCTGTATTGTTTTTATTTTTTTGCGTTGTTTTGTTTTTGTCTTTTGTGTTAGTTATTGTTTTTTCTCTTTAAATTAAAAAAAGAAATTGGCAAAAAAAAGAGAATATTAAGCATAGCACAAACTTACGATTTGAATGACAACTGCTAAACATTGTCAGTCTGAATTGCTGACTTATAAGTCACTGGACATGACAGTCACCTAGCTGAGTAGGTAGTAATCTTGCCAGGACTATTTTAATGAATGTTTTATAATTGATTAAATGTAGTCTGTTACCTGCATTTAAAAAGTTATTTTCTAAATGCACTCCCACCCTGCAATTTTACATATCCCACTGGCTTACCCGGCAAGTTCCTGTCTGATAAATGATGTCAGTATAACCTTTAACCAAAGTGTGAGTCTAAGTATGGAGTCTCAAAAAGACCTTTCACTGATGACTTACCCAAGTTATTTATCAGTAGCCCAATTATTTCTCTGCCTCTGAAAATATGCCTTTCCTTAACAGTAACTTATTATCCTGATTTGAATAAACAGAGACTATCACTCAAACCACTTGGGCTTGAGGAGAGGGTTTGAGGGCTCATCCACTTGGCTCCTGGTTTGGGGCAGCGAGAGAGTCTCTCCTGACGGCCCTGTCCTCTGCCCTTAAGGATGTGCACTCATTTGCAACATCTACATGCAGGCTTGCTACATATTTTGCTGAATGATTTTTAAACTACAGTTTCTAACAAACAACTGTGTACTGCGAGAGAGGTAGAAAAACAGAGCACACAAACACGTTCTCTTTGTATGTAATAAATAGAAAGAGCACGTCTATCTACTTCTCTCTGTATCTGACTACTGTTTTCTGACTTTGTTTCTGTATCATGGCTCCTAAAAATGATAGTTATAAAACCTGACGATAAAATTATTGTGTACATTTGAAGTAGTATCTTTTTTTCTTTCTTCATGGACAAAATCTTTTACAGCTACTCAAATAAGTTACAGCTACTCAGATAATAGCATGAAGTCTATGTATATACAGTATTTGGGTTTTCTGTTGAAAGTCACATTCATGATGAAATTCTACTGTTAAGATATAACCAAAACTGCATTACGACAATACACAAAATTTTACTGATGTTGTTTATCTATTTTTTTAATTCACATTTTTGCAAATCACTTTCTTCTAAGTGCTTTATGAATCTGCTTCCCAACTAAGCAGTAGGATGGTCACTACTTTCACTACAACTCCCTCAAATTCTACTGTAAAAATATACTGGGCCATGTTTCCTAGGGTGGGCAGAACTGGCCTCTATGATACAGAGGTGGGTGACAGGGCTGGACAATGACTCTCTCTTTACAGTGGACATTAATTAGATCTTGGTCAAGTGATCTTAAATATGATTGTATAGATCAAAAAAATAACAATGGGGTTGGGAGGTAGAGCTCAGTGACAGGGTGCTTGCCTTACAAGTGCAAGGCTGTGGGTTTGAGCCCTATCACAGCAAAATAAAGTAAAAAAGAAAAAATAATCATGACCACTCTAATGGCCAGACCTTTGGGCCCAGGCTGCTGACTGGGCAACAACCTTTCAAGAGATGGTTTTTGATAACTGCCATGTGCCCATTTAATAGGCAAAAGCCCTGCCACTTGCTAGGAAATACACGTTTTCCCATGAGTATCAAACTGCTCACAGAATCATTAAGTCTAGTTTCCCGAAAATAAAAAAGCAGGTTAAGTGCTGAGTCCACTCCGGGATGCTTATGTAACCCATAGGTACAAATGTTTTTATTCTGAAGTGAGTCGCTGGGGAACTTGATATTCATCTAGAAGAATGCCCCCCTGTTATTTTTTATACTGCCACCTTAGTCTGGCACAAAACTCAGAATGCAATCTGCGATCCCCTGTAGCCCAAAACACCATCATATTAAAAGAAGTTGCAGATTTCAAAAGCAGAGTAATTCAGAACTATGGTCGAGCAAAGCACCGAATAAAAACACCATCGCCACCAACCTTTGGTTGAACTTCGGGTGCTGCCACCTTGACGGCTTTGTTGCGACTTATCACCTGCTTCGCCCACCTTTCTACCTGAACGTTGAATTTCATGAAAATCACATAGCCAACGTAGGCTGTTAGGAGAAGCATGCTTTCCCACCACATGATAACATTATCCAGGAAAAATATAATCAGCATGATCAAGTCAACGATGTAGAAGGACACATCCCGAAAGAGTGGCCACCACGTCAGGTTTAAGATCTCTCTGGAAAACAGAGCACACATGCCAATCACGAAAAGGATGTTGAACACTGCGGAACCCACGATTGTGCCTATGCCCACGTTGCTGTGAGCAATGAACACCCCTATGAGGGACGTGAACAGCTCTGGGGCTGAGCCCCCCGCAGCCATGAAGGTCGCTCCAGCCACGTCGTCGGAGATGCCGAGTTTTTCAGTGATGACGGTCAGAGAAGGAACGAAGAACTCATCACACACGATGGCTAAGGCTATGAACATGTAGATCATTCCTATGACATGGAGAATAATGGCGCCTCTTCTTCGCTCCTCAAGGGAAAAGATATCTTTAGGGTAGTCTCCTTGGGCGTGATCTGTACTGTTCTCAGATTTGCCTTCCTGAGAAAGGGGTGGCTGCGAAGTGTAATCCCAAGTCTTGTCCTTTAAGTCTAAGAGTGTCCTCTGAGGGAAACTGTGCGCTGCACCGGGGCCACTGCCCACCCCGGCCTCTCCTGCGCTCTGCGTGTCTGTCTCAGAAAAGGCGCTGACTGGGAACGGGACAGCGCTCACGGCCACGAGGCCCAGGAAGAGGCCTAAGATTCGAATTAACTTCAGTCTTTTCCTCACGGCACGCTGTCTCCTGCCGCCAGGCAGCGTCGCTGCGGAGCACCATCCCTCCAGGAGGCCGATGGCGGTGCTTTGGTGCAGGTCCATCCTGGGCGTTGTGGGGGACATAGTGGTCTTCAGAGTTCAGACGAAAGTGGACAGCTCGGTCATGCTCTTCCGTACGTTACAGTTCAGAGTCTGTGGGCACCTCCAGGACCAGGGCTTCTCAGGCTTCAAGGGAAATTTTCATCATTTATGCTAAAATGAAAGTAGAAATGAGCGTAAGTATATCATAAAAATCTCATCTTTTTCGTATGAAGAAAGAACTTCACAGATATGAGGAAGTCCTCTCCTGCAGGCACAGGTAAGTTACATAACTCCTCTCTGTTTCCTCTTTATAAAACATAGGGACAGGGCCGGGGATATAGCTCAGGGGCCGGGATATAGCTCAGTGGTGCAAGCTCCTGCCCGGCAAGTGCAAGTTCCTGAGTTCGATTCCCGGCACCGAAAAAACCAAAACCAAAACCAAAAAAACCAAAAACAAAAAATAGGGACAATTACAGTCCCTAACATCCAGGTTGCTTTCTGTGTTTCTTCCTTCCCAGTGCTGGAGATAGACAGTTAGGTAAGTGCTCCACCTTGCCTCAAGCTGGCTCAGCCTTGCTGACTACATCCTCAGCCCACAGGACTGCTTTAAGGTGAGTGACAACACATGCAGCACTTAGAACAGGAAGTAACACCTAGTAGCTACTTAAAATTACACACGCAGAAAGCCAAGTAACCATTTGGTAAATCCAATGTTAGATGTAAAAGCGGAGATGTGTGTAAGTATGAAAATATATAGAAGAAAATCGGTTTATTCACCTTAAATCACGTAACGAGATCTTTCAGTGCTAAAAAGATCCCACTTCTTTCAGAAATATCTAGGTTCTTGACAAGTGACAATTACTCCCTGTGTTTTCTTCTAGTCCAATTACATAATTCACCATTGTGCATACATTTTTCTGACTTAACCTGTCATGTGGAGAGGGTTGAGTTTGAGACACAATGCTCTCAGGATCTTATGCTTCATGAAAAGTCTCTCCTATGTCAGATGCAGAAAAGTAGCCCTTTAAACTTTTAAGTTTGCAAAAAAAAAAAACGTTCTGGTAACATGAACAACCTGTTTTCTTACAATATCTGCATGCTGTTTTCTACTAAACCCTTTAAAAATAACCTTTAGTCTATTTAAATAGCTTAATGAAACAAATCCTAATGCAGTAAAATAACAAGTAGGGTATCCATAAACAATATGCAAGGAGCAGCTATACCTCTGTCCCCAAATCTGCCTTCAACAGCCCCAACACCGACCCTTTCATAGGTTAGATATCCAAAGCAGGATTTTCATTCTTGATTCCTCGGAAAAATTGATAAGCTAACCAGCCACGACAGAGGATACAGTGAAAGTGCCCCTTTTTAATTATTCTTTAAAAACACCTTTTCCTGTATCCGTGATTTCATTATAGAGGCTTTCACCGAGATCATCTCAGGTGTACAATAAGCTAATTAAACGCCCGCCACTTAAGACCTGGGATTAGCTGGAGCTCAGGTTTTCGGAGCGGAGCGAAAGCACCGGTCAATCCGGGCTGAGCCGCGGCTCCTCCAGAGATGCCCCGGACCCAGCAGGCTCCCGGCTGGCTGCGGCGGTCGACGCCGGCCGCGGGAGTAAGCGCCGCACGGCGGGGGGCCGTCGCCCCGGGCGCCCCACACCCCGCTCCG